GTTGTCGGGATGAAGTCARCCGCCGAGATATTCAGGATAGAGTCCTAATCCTCAGTGGAGTTGTCTTCCCTATTCCTCTTTATCCATAATTACGCTTATCCACGTGACGTATAACTGACGTGACTGAAAGGATAAGATGGGGGGCTACAATAATAGTGTTGCCCGGTTTAAGCCGTGAAGTCAATGTATAACAGGGAACTGACCGGGCTGATGAGGCGATGATTGAACGGCCACATGTCTATTTGGACCAACTCAGCTATGGACCGATCAGGATGATAATAATATCTCACCATTTTCTGTACAACAAGTTGAGGGTAAGCACCAACAGTTGTTTCTCTACTAAGCATTACTCGGTCTATGCCATCAAGTCATCAACAACCGCATTGGCAACATCGGTGGCTTCAACTCTAGTTGATCATAGATTCCAACATATGAGTTGCAGTCCCAACAGGATCACCCTGGATGTTGCACTTGTAGATCACCACTTTTTGTGCTAGAAATATCTTCTCATCAATTGGAATTTCCATTCCCATATCCACATGTGCCACCATAAATAAATTCATCAGAGTTTGCAAGTATGTCATCAAAATTAACTACCCCTTCTCAATTTTCAACCTAAGAAATTCACAATTCGAAAAGAAATGTCAGGATTCTGAACCAAGTTTTCACTAATCTATCATAACTACTATTCATGAATGGATCCTCTTTCATGCACCCCTTCTTGTCTCCATGGTATGAGTACGCTGGCTCACCGTTTGCCTTCACAACTGGAGGAGCAAAAAACTGACAACTCCCAAAAGGCTTTCCTTAGTCGGGAAAAAAATTGATAAAGAGGCCTATTTAGACACAGAGTTCACAGATAAATCGTGAACAGGCGCAGGAACACAGAACGCAATAGGTTTTTTTTTTTCATTTGCACAGTAAAACTGTTAACAGAGGTTTGCAGAGAAGCTTAGATTTTTGTTAGCATTCCGTCACCCATCTAGTTCTATGGCGGTTCCAAGATAAGAGAAAGAGAAGCTTAATTATTGATGAGGGCGGATTTGGCCCTCCAGTGAAATTGTGACACCTGGCACCTCATGCAAACCAAGTGTAGCCTCTTGACAACTGAACAGCTTGGGCAGCTCGGTATAGCTCGCCACAGGCAGCTCAGTAGAGCCTGCCATAGCTCCCCCCCAGACAGCCCGCCACTTGTAGGGTAGCTCGGTACAAAAGAGCAGTTCGGCATATCGCAGGAAGATCTCTTGCCTGACAATCGTACCTGACAGGTCCGGAGACTTAAGCTCACGTCTCTCGCCAAGCGGCACCGTGCCTGCCAGCCTTGAGAGCTATCCCTCCCCTGGCAGAGCCATACTCTGCAACAACCGCCTGCACCCGCCACCTCAGCTTTGGCAGTAACGGCTACGGAAGAAAGACAGAGGTGGTTATGCCTGACTTGATAGAGGCAGTTAGGCCTGATTTGACAGGACACCGCTATATAAGGACTTCGACCCCCAAAGATAAGGAGAGAGAAAAGAAAATGGAGGTAATCTCTGCTCCCTAGCTCTCTCATTTCTCTAATATCATCTTCAAGCTCTCTACAATTAGAGTGCTAACATAAGCATCGAAGAGTCCCCCGCCGGGTAAAGACCCCCGGGTCCTCTGATTCAGTGCTCGCAGGTTCCTCAGCTCCCGCCGCCTACAAAGAGGAGGAAAAGATGGAGTTCTCGCAGGTCTCTAAGCTCCCGCCGCCTACAAAGGAGAGGAGATCACCTCATGTAGAGGGCAGTCGGGTTGCGTTACACTAGGGAGCTCCACCATCCTCTGAGTCGCAGGTCGTCTAGGAGCAGGTCAAATGACGAGTCCACCAAGGTAGCTCACCATCAGAGAGCTTGGTATAGCTCTCCCCCAGGCAGTTCGCCACTAGGGAGCTCCACCATCCTCTCCTCGGAGCAGGTCAAATGACGAGGTACTTAGCAAAGAAATAAAAAAAGTCGGTACATGACCAGAACCGGTTGCATCAATTATTACATTCATTTTCAGGATAGGAGAAAGATAAACAATTCAATCATTCCATCAAATGGGTCAACTCATGATGTTATTATTAAATAATAAAAATTAAAATATATATATATAAAACATAATAAATTATAAAAAATACATAAATTTGTAGAAAACATTTGAATATATCTCTAATATTATATATTCATCATATTAAATAAAAAATAAATATGATAAAAATGAAAATTAAAATTAAACATATTATTACCATCAACATCAACGTCCAAATTTACTACATGCAATAAAATATATACACATTTGCTAATAATACTTCTGGATGGAATTTTGCTTTGATCACCAACATTAAAGGGTTTAGGGTTTGCTAGTAATAATAGAAGTGCGATTCACTCTGTTTTTGTAAGGTCTCCAACTGGTTCTAGCTGAAACTTGGGATCAAATGTTGTTTTGATCACCAGGGTTAGAGGGTTTTGGGTTTGGAGGATGAACTATCCCGGTTGTGTAGCCTCATGTAACAAAAAAAAAATAGATTATATTATTCGACCAACAAAAAGGTCATTCCCTTATCTTGAATCTAAGACGACCTATAACATACATGTGTGCATGTCAATAACCACCGATTAAAACATGGGTTCTAGTTGTTTTTTCTTTTATCGAAATGTTAAAGTTATTAACTTATTATTATTATTATTTTTTTTTTTTGTGCACCTTAAGGTCGGATTTGATGGTGTGCTCCAATCAAGAATAAGGAAGTGAAACAGGATTTGTTCCTCACACGTACATCCTATAATGTATTGAGAACATTTTCTGCATTTATTAATTATTATTCATGGGAGATGTTCTCAATACACGGTAGATGTACATGTGAGGCGCCCATTTGTGAGAGCAGATCCTGTCTCTAAGTAAGCACGCCCATTGGCTCATGCATTTGCTTTTAAAAATTCATGTATGAACTATGAAGTATGTCCTTGGAATCTAATGTGTGGTTTTCGGCTTTAATTCGTGTCACCTCTCATGTCTCAGTACGTCTTGATCAATCAATGGTTTTCTTTGCCACGCTTCCTTTTAAATCGACCGACTGACTTTTACATTGATGATTTTTTCACGTTGTTTATAGTTGAAGGACTGATCATTGATTGCTAATTGAAATGTCAAAGTTAAAGTTTCTTCTTCTAGGGGTGAATTCTAATCGTTTTAGATGAATTGATTCATCTCAATTTGTACTGATCAACACAAAATGTTTTACATAGAACCAGTAATGGTGTCAAAAGAACCCTACTCATGCACAGTTAATCGGGTTAACAACAGGTACAGGATAAACACGGGCCCATAAAGCATGTTTCACAGAACATCTTCCTTATCTTTTGGGAACATCTTCTATACTTGTCATGGGAACACCCATAACATGCATATGGTGTGCCTTGTTGGAAGAATCTGAAACTTGTATCATAAAATTAAGGGTGAACATGGGCTGATTCAGTTGTTCCAAGATAGAACCTAAAATCTACCTTGTAAGGGTTGGTTCCAATCTTTTGGAATTGAAACCTACCCTATCAAGATTGGTTCAAGGGTTGGTTTTAGGGTCTACTCAGGAGGCAACATGTTAAGACAAACTGGTGATAAACATGATCAGAACGATAATCAGAGCCTACATGTTAAGGACAAACTAGGGAGAGTAAACAACAAAGAATCTTGAATGCGGCCCCTTTCCTATCTCCTTTTATTCAACTCCTTCAGCCAACTCACAACGAAAGTTTATTGGATTACACCCTAGCTAGAACAACTGTACAGTAGGGGTGAGAAACAAATGCAAAATCATCACCAACTCCGCTAAAAGAATGGAATTTGTTCTTCAAGGGCTTGATTTTCAGTAATAATAATAATAATAATAATAATAATCTAGTTCAAAACCTACCATTATAATTTAATTTGTTGTAAATATTACTTTTTAAATTACTTATTATACATAAATATTAAATTGAAACAAATAAGGTCAAATCACTATGACTTAAGCCTTGTTTATTTACAACTTTACAAGTTAATGGAGTAAGTGCACTTATTCATGTAAATGTTTCCTGGATAAATTCACTTATCCATGTCCTTTGGATTTTCAAGATTCCTGGGTAAGTAACAGAATAACATTTTTACCTACTAAAATTTAGTATTAAAATAGGCAAAATAATCCCATTATGTTTTATAAAAGTTTCTCCTAACTAGGGAAGTTACTTATCCACTTGGAAGATGGGTAAGGTTTACCTAAAAGTAAAAGTGATTTTACCATGAGACCCACTGCTTAATACAAAAAAGGCAGATTCTCTATGTCAATATTGTATAGGCTTTTTTCAATGCAAGTTTGGTTCCAAGGCCGTTTCCACCAAGGTCAACTAAGGCAGATTCTCTATGTCAATATTGTATAGGCTTCCCAGTATGCCCTTACAGGGGGTGTTTTGGGGTTTAACCCAGTTCAGGGGTAGACAAGCCTTAAACCGACCCCTTTGAACCAGGTTTAAAAAAGTGAAATGAGCTTCAAGTTTGGTTCAGGGAGGTTTCTAATTGAATGCAAGCAAATTCCAAAGGAGATTTCCCTTCCAGCAATTCCAACGCCCTGGCTATGCAATTAGCTCCATCATCAATCGTCACATTGACCATGGTTACAAAAATTTTATCTACCACAATTGGGGACCCGATCTATAAATATACTTCGTTTCCATCAGAGAACCTTCTTTCCAAGTCAAGATGATCTTAATATGAAACTAACTTTCGTTTGTCGGTTGGAGCTTTGCAATGGGGCCGTATGAGGTTTTGAGACAACTTTCCGAAATAGATATGGAGCTCAGCATCAAGACTGCAACTTTCCTTCCTCAACTTCTTAGTGGTCCGTGGGAACAAGATAATCACCAGGACAGCAACTGCTGTAACCTTGTTTAACGAATAATAATTAAATGAGACCAAAAAAAAAGAGCCCATTTTCCTTTCTTTCCTTCCTCGGTACTTTGGATCTGTACAAGCAAGCAGTAGGAATTATTAACTTTATGTCACACAAATACAAGCATTATGAATGGAATTCTCAACATAAATTCAGGTTCAACACAAATAGCTGATGCTGCCAATGTGCCCATTTAATCTCTATGTGCTTCTGAAATTTCTATCTTCCACAGCTCTCCTCTTTAGTTTTCATACTTATCTGATCACATGTTCTTATACTAATGTGTGTTTCATTTTCTTCACCAGCTAAATGTTTGAGGTGCATATATGGCTCACATCTATGGAAAGTACCAAAACCACTTCACAAGATGTAGACTAAACCCAATTGTTGTCTCACCCTGTGCACTTTTCTCATTTAATGTAGCTCGTATTATCATAGAATATACATCTGTACCAATCCTACAAGTAAAAAACTGCTTAACAAAACATCCAAAACCCTGCCTCGATTAAATAGTTGCTGAACAGAAACTTCGACCATCTTCATGCTTTTGCTTAGCGTTTCGTTTTCTCACTTTGCAGGTACTTCAACACTCCATATGCGACTGTTCCACCAACAAACAAGAAGACTGTTGGGGTGAATGATGGATACAGATACTTCACAAAGAACTTATCCCATTCCTCTGGCAGGAAGCCTGTCCAAGTAGCGAGGGCAAAAAGGATTATCATCTGACAACAAACTAAATGGTACATTTCATGTTAAAAAGAATGTATATAGGTCACTAGATCAGGTTACTTATCAGGTGTAACTTCAAACTGAACAAATAGTGTAAAGCCTACTAAGAACTGCATTTACTTAAGGCTTTGCTATCATAATCTATCATCCCCAGTTACTTATCATCATTTGTAGGATTAATCAAAATCAAATGTGGCTCACAGCCATAATGATTTTGAATAAATGTACATTATTGTTTGTTAGTTTGATCAATAGATGATAGGTAGCAATTTAGCAATATGGGCTATCATTTAAGTACAGCTAGAATCATTATAGTTGTGTAATTCGAATGATCCTGAATTTAAACTAATGATCCCTAATTTGAGGCATAACCTTGTCCTGCATAGTCTTAACTCCAGACCAAAGAGGGATGTTACAACAAACAGCTAGCTATTGAGGATTCATGCATTTTCTAGACCTCTCTAGTTAAACTTAACTTGGTTCTAGAAAGAATATTCTAGAGAGTTGAAACTATAATGCATTGGTAGTTGTATCATTATTAATTGCACAGTCTAGGAGTATGTGATGAGTCAAGTATGTACATTGCTTAACTATTAAGAAATGATCCCCAAGTAATATACACTAGTAAATCAAATAAGATCTAGTAATGACAGTTAAATGGAACAAGCACTGTCAGTAGTCCAGAACAACCTTCAGTCATTACATACACTTAATATGCGAAAGCTTAAAAAAATCCATATTCAGAGCATTACAATTTGAATAATGTAGGCTACTAATAATACTCAAAGTGAATACTTGAGATCAAATGCTCCTGCCCAAATCCTACCACCTTAGGATTTTACGAAGCAACTTCACCCCATTAATGGTTCTGACTAGTTCCAGCATTTCGTTGATTGAAATGTCCCTGTCCTTCTCCATATATTACTTTCCTAGCACAATTTATACTTGTCATGAAATATTTCATTGCTGCTTTATTTTCTTCTTGTCATATTGGTTTGGTTTATGAGCATTAGTCATCCTCATATCCCAGATATAAAAGCACTGGCAGCAGGCAACCAGGTAAGCATGATTCACTGTAACAACTTAGTATGTAGATCAGAGACAAGACACAGTTCAATAAAGTCAAGTAACATGCTAGATGGACACTATGAGAAAAACAAAGCTTCTAACACAATAGAAACTTCCACTGTGTCATGTCAAGTTCAATCAACAGTAAACTGCATGTGATTGATCTGTTCTCCAAATTTCCATTTGTAGATCTTCATAAGCAGGAATTTATGAAGTGCCACCTAGATTACATGGTTCTTGCATGCCATCTTTATAAGGCTTTGTATAATCTCAAAAACACTTGATGAATGATAAGAGGAACTTAATTCCAAACTATTGTGTGACTCTTTTACATTCAACTCCACATGTTTACATGCAGAAGCCATTTTGTCAGTAACGAGATAAATGAGATGTCTTAATAATACATAAATAAATAAAGAGGAAATGCAACTCCATTCTCTTTGAGTAGGAGCCAAGGAACCACAGTTCAATAGCTTATCCAGTTATATCTCTAGCTAGACTATTTTCCAGTGTACTAGCTGATCTTGGTACAGATTTTTTCATCAAGCAGCTCTGCCTGGATGCCAAAGATTTAGCTTTTCTATGAGCAATGTTTTAGAACATGGAGGTATGATGCAGGGCATTCTACTACCTAGAGGTGTGAAGCATAGTTTAGAACGTAAGAAGCGTAAGCCTCCTGAACACAAGGAGGCGTAAGTCTCCTTAAGAGGAAGGGGGTGAGTAGGAAGGAGGGGGAAGAGGAAGAAGTGGAAGGAGGATCTCATTTTTCTTTCCCCTTCTCTTTCCTTCCCTTTTCTTTATTTTCTCTTTTTTTTTCTTTCTCTTTCTTTTTCTTTTCCTTTCCTTTCTTTTCTTTTCTTTCTTTCTTCTTTTTCTGTATTTTTCTTATTTCTTACCCTTCCATTTTCATATCTAGATGATGCCCTAATGTCTGATGACCCTGGATTACCCAAAAGCTTGTCTTAGTCAGTCCTCTTTGGGGAAGGGCAGCTGGCTTCCAATGTTGCTTTCTTGGTGCCCTCAGATGGAAAAAGACTTGACACTGATTCACAACCCCTTAACATGGAATTGACAGAAAATCTTTTTTAAATTCTTCTATCTCCATGTGCTTCTCATATGGTAGCTAGATCAACAATGGTGTATGGCTTCAGTTCCTGTCTTGGAAGAACCTTCAATTCTGTTTGAAATACTTCAAATCATTATTTCCCTTGTAAATCTCCAGAGAATCTCCGCTCTCGCAGTAGATGGGTACAAGAAATGTAACTCAAAGAGATCCAAAATGTTAGAGAGTGCATTCCATGTTGACCCAAATAAAGGAAGGATATGCTTCTATCAAGCCATTTTAGAGCTTCCATATGGATGACGTATACCAATGACAGTGAAATGGGTTATTTTGTTCTACATTACCATAAATGTCTATGCAATTTCTGAAGATGGAAAATTTTATTGGTTATTTGGCATTACCCCTAAATGACAGAGTAGCTGTTAAATTGCAGAGAGGTTATTTGCATGACAGATGCTAATATTTATCTTGCATGTGCAAAAGACACACTGACCCTAGTTGACAGTGATGTAGAGCTATATCTAAAAGAGAAGACACCTTTTTTGGGCACATCTGGTTGGGTAATTGAGTAAGCAGGTATCCATCTCTCTGTTAATCCTTAAGTGCCTAATTCTGCCCTCCGAGGCTCCGACCTACATTTCCCTCTTTCTTCCATTATAATCACCATTCCAACAACTTCTCTATTAGAAATGATCTTGGTCCTTAATAAGAAAAGGAAAAGAAAAGAAAAGGATCCTGGTCCTTCAGAACAAAATAACGACCCATAGCTTCCTAAATTTCATGTGACGATTATCTCAAAATTAATTGCAGTGGTACAGCTCCTACAGCTACATGACAATCGACAGATAGCATGCGGGGACTCAGAATTAAGCAAATCAGATAAGTAATTATACCTGATGCAGCAAGAACGATACCCTCAATGAGAATTAGAGAGCCGAGACCCAACCAAGTGAGAAGGAAAGCGCTTTCGTTCTTTCTCTGCTCTTGGGACTGTGCTTCTCCCTGCTGGGAAAGAAAAGCGGGCTTCTCTAGTGGGGATCGACGAATTATTGACGATGTCCTTTCTCTACCTTTCTTGTTCTTCTTCTTCTTCTTGGCAGTACTGGAAGTATCGTTTGCTCCCTCCTTCTCCTTCGTCTTATCCAAAGTAGACGAGCCGAACCCAAGTCCGGTTGTGTTTGCTTTCTTGGAAGCAGCTAAAATGGAGGCCTGCTCAGGAGTTGATTCAGTTAAACTCTTGTTCTGTGATGCCTCTGCCCTTACAGTTAGCCTGACTCTGGCGGGAAAGCAAGGAGATGGGTACAGAAGAGAAGGTGAGGGTTTCTTCGCAAAACATGGAGATTGGATCGGTAATGCCATTTTCTTCTTCTTTTCGGTTTAATCGGTTGCAGATTCTGTTTGGCTAATATATAGCTGTTTTCCGAGAATGACGAAAACAACCCTGCCAAATGATTTCTACAAAAAAAGTGTTTGGCTAATATTGCTCTTTGGCTAACAATGTTTGGTGAAACAGGGACAGTAAAAGTATTTTCAAAATTACATGGCGAGCCAAGACAGGTCGATAGGAAATAATCACTTATTGAATAAGCATTATTTGGACTTATTTTCAAAATGCAAATAAGCATTTATTGGTGTGGTCTTGGACTATTGGAATAAACACTTATTTTTAAGCATTCTCAAATTTAGCCTTAATCCGTCCAAAGGGTGGGTAGACATTTTGCTTGCAGCAAATCTCATCACATGTAGGGCACGTAGAATTCTACAAGCATCGGAAATTCGGAATACATCTCTCATGAATTTAACATACATATATGGTAGATATTTTTAATGTATGGTTGGATGCTACGTGAATAGAGTTTATGCTTATAGGAGATTTGGGCTTTAAATTGAAACGGGATTTTCTAAAAGTAAAAATTTTGCACACTCTAGAAGCATTGGAACTCAGCTGCATATTGGGAACATCTCCTCATGAATTTAACATGTATGTACCAGAGATATTGCTAATGTGCAACTGGATGTTATATGTGAGCAAAGTTTTTACTTGTTGGAGATATAGGCTCCTTTGAATTTTGTTATGGAAACGAACCCAATTGGCCCAAGTTGGATTCTAGAAGTGAGTATAGCCCTACACCTTGCCACCTAGTCTATGTTTAGGGGTACAATTTGGGCAGGCCCAACCCGCCCTACCTAAACCTGATCCAACCCAACCTGAGCTATTATATGGGTTAGGCTTATGTTTTTTTTTTTTTTTTTCGTTTTGGGCTAGGCCTAGTCCAAAAAAATTTTATCTTGATCTAAATTTGGATTAGGCTTGGGTTGAAGGCTCAAGTAGCCCGAGCCTAACATAGTTCAACCTAAGCCCGATCAAACTCGAGCCTGCCTGACCAACCTACCTAAGCCCGGCTTGGTCCAAACAGAGATGAAGCCCTTTCTAGTTGGGACTAGGTGGTAAAGTTGGACTTGACCTTAGTTGGATCGAACCTGAGCCCGAAATTTGCATCTTGGAGTTGGGCTTGGGTTTGTTAACTTTTAAGGTCCTATTCGTATGTGTTCTGATGATAATAAGCACACCTTGTCATATTCGTATGTTAAATCAATTTTTTATAGTAGTTGAGTGCTCAAAGCGGATCAAGTAGTCTTTGCAGGCAATGTGTTCAAGTGGATCAAGAAAGCTTTTAATCAAATGGACTACAAACGAACATACTCAAAACAATGCTTAGATCACTAAAAGAGCCAAAGCTTGAAAAAAGAGCAAATAAAATGCACGGTAGAGTCATTTGCAGTGTTAGAATAGGTCTTATTTAGGGTTTGTTTGGCATGCAGCTGAAATCAAAATTGGAGTCCAAATCAGAATGGTCTATTCTCATAATCTATTTGGTTCAGACAGGAATTGGAATCAGTTGGAATGAGATTTCATTCCGAGGGGAGGGAATAACCATTCCCTTAAATGAGGGGTGTCATTCCACCAGGAATGAGAATGGGATTCTATTTCCACCCAACCAAGCAGTTAGAACCAGAATGGCCAATTCCAATTATGGGTTTGACTACGAAGTCGGAAATATATGATACACTTTCAACCAATCAAGCAGGATCATAAACGTGGTAATCAATTAGGTGAGTTTTCATTAAAATCCATGGAGATTTATGATTGGTCAAAGCATTTCAGGTACCATGTCTTCTCAGTGTCATAAATTTCCCCCTGAAAGCATTCATGGAGATTTATAATTTGAACAAGAAATGTAGTAATTCAAATTATATTTTTTGTCCTCAAAATTGGAGAGGTATCAAATTCAAAAATAAAGATATTCTAATAAAGAATAATACCTTAAATATAAGACTTAATAAGAATGTTAATGAGAATTAATACCTTAAATATAAAATTTAATAAAAAGTATCAAATAAAACTAACGTGAATGTCCAAAGGCATCAAATGAAATCCAATACTAGATAGAGCAATAAGGGCCTGAGGTTCATTTTTATTTTCTCTTTAGTATCTTATATATCCATTCTATTTTTAAAAGATTATCTGTTTCATGCTTCCCTAATCCACCACAATGTCATATATTAGCAACTTTCATAAGATATGGCCCTGGGAACAAGTCTATCTCGAGAATCCACTTGCTAATATGATTAACAATCTGAAGAGAAAACTGATGGTAATCCTCCCTGAGCTTATTCAAGATATTCCAACAAGCTGTAAAGAAGGCATACATGATCATCTTGCTTCAATTCCTGAAGGACTTGATATTATCTATCAGAAAAAAAAAATATCCCATACCATCTTAAAGAATTATTGATTGTAGTTGAAATTGTGATCATGTTTTTCCGTAAATCCAAAATCTGTTCTTGACTTAATTGATTTAAGAAGACCTGCCTTGAATGGATTGGAAAGCAAATCAGGCTTTATGTTCAATGAAGTTAGCCATGAAAGGTATCTTTCTTCTTTCATTTTCTTATAAACAAATGTAATTACATTAGGGAAAATATGGCAAGTAAAAAGGTCAAACCTCCCTCAAGAAAAATATCCCAAAAAGTTACAATGGCTGTGAACCTGTTGGCACTGCTTGGCTGTTTTCTCAGTTTGGTGGGCCTGACCCATCAATGAAGCTTATAGACAATATCCCAAAAATAAAAAGGTCAAACCTCATGTTTGCTTTTTATTTCTATTCTGGTATTCTAGAGAGATCTTCTCATTTTTCTCCAATAAAAAAGTAAAAAATAAAAAGGTCAAACCTCCCTCAAGAAAAATATCCCAAAAAGTAGACAGTTTTTGGTTTGTCTGTTTTGTTTTCTTTGGTTAATTTCTATGATAAAACTCCGTATTTAAAACACTTTAACAATTATGTGAATTCAAATGAATTGATTGATTGGTTTGATTATCAGTTTGGTACCATACCTTTACATGACTTTTACTTAAAAAATATAGACATGGCTTATTACATCAACTGTAATTAACCCGAACCCAGCCCAACTATATATACAAGTATATACAATTATGATTTTAGAGTGGGTTTGTTCATTAACCTCAAGCCTGGCCTGAGCTTAAAATACATCAACTGTATTTTACATGTTATCATCTTAAAGATATTACAAATATGTGCGCAAAACAAGCGGACTAAACCCTTTTTGTTTCGAAATACATCCTTGTTTTAATTTTTATTGTCATACAAAACGAAATTCAATGACATTCAAATTTCAAAACCAAGGTTGGACAGTCAATATGGGTTCCTTGACAAGGTTTTTTCATGTGGATGGATGATAAATACACTTGTGGAAATTGGCAAATTGCCAGAACACATATTCCTTGTTTGGGTTGAGAAAAATTATGCCTTTGGGTCTCACATTGATATGCCTTTCTACCACGCTTCTGATAGAGTATTCCCTCCTATTTCAAACCAAACAAAATAGAGAAAAAAAACTCCTGTTTTCTCTTTTTTCAAATCAAACAAATATATAGTCTGACTTCCTTTTTAATTGATAAATGATAAACAACATATATAGTCTTGACTATGCGCTTATATTATGTCTTAAAAATAAAAATTTATTATGCATTGTAGAATATCTCCCATATTTGTCATCTGGAGATGTTTCCAATACACGATTGAGATGTGCAGTGGGGCATGACCCAGATGGAATTTCTTTTATTCATGGGAAGATATTTTATGAAAGAAGTATTGTGAGGATGGTGTAAAGATCAATTTTGTGAGGAAGAAATCTCTTACAAGCAGGTTAGACACCTTTGTTTTTTAGTTCAAATCAACCCCCCACGAGATTTCCCCCCACAATGTCCCATAGCACATCTCCGCCGTGTAATGAGAGCATCTCCCAATGATGACATTATGATTTATGGGATTATCATCAGGAGATGTTCCCAATACATGGCGGGGATGTGCTGTGGGATGTTGTGGGGGGCTGATTTGGTCTCTTTGTTTTTGTTATCATGGGAGTCATGGGATGAACAAGAACTGCTATGCAGTGTAGTTATCAGGGAAACAAGAGTTCGGATCACCTACAACAAAAAGACATTCCAACACCTTCCAAACATAATCTAACACCACATATCTCATACATGGCCATGGTGAGTCCTACCCTCGTGCTGAGATGTGCAGTGCCAAATTATGTTGGGAGAGTGTTAGGTCTTTTGTTGGTAGGTGAGATTAGCAAATAGTCGATCTAGAGATCGGACTTTCCCCTCGAAAGCTTTCCTCACACCACAGTGGTGCATTGGATATATCACATTTGTACAATGTACTATGAGTAACAGTCTTTAGGGGATTGACTTATAGCCATAGGTGGTGGCTCCTCACTTATTTTGGAAGGGAGGGCTTAGGGTGTAAATGGATCGAATTTGAATTGAATCAGGCAATATCTGAATTCGAATCAGATTGAAAAATTCGATATCCGAATTTGATTTAATATCTGACGGATAGTGAAAATTAATATTTGAATTCGAATCCGATTAAATATTCAAATATTCGATTCGATTCGATTCGAATATGACTAATTAAAAATAAATAATTTATTTATATAAAGTATATAAATATATAAATTATTTATACAATATAATTATTGTATATATACATTTTATAAAACATTTAAAAATTTTATATATTATATATAGGAATTAAATAATCGGTTGAATTCGGATATTTATCAAATCGAATAAGGTCATATCCAAATTCGAATCCGATTAGCTATTCGGTATAAATAGGATATCCGAATTCGACCAATTAAATATTCGAATTATCCAAATTCAATTTGATTATATCGAATTTCAAATTTAAAAATTGGATTTTCAAATACCAAGGTTTTTCTTTATATGGAAAAACTTTGGTGGTTGGAGGCCAATGCCTATGCTCTTGAGAATATTTTTTGGAGCAGAAAAGAGACAGAAGAAATCTTCAAAAAAGGGGTTCCATGACCCAAACTGGGTAAGCATCAATCCACAACTCTCAACCCCGAAGTCCTCTTTGCGCTATTTCGTGAGCTACTTGATTATCACTCCTTTTAACAAAACTGAACCTGACATCTATAGTACCTGCAAGGGCCAGACAGTTGTGCATCAATTTAGGGGTATTTTCGACCTTAGAGTAGTCAAATTGTGTCATTTTCCTAGTTAATTTCAATGTTGTGACCTCTGAGGGTCCTTATGCAAATTCTGTGCAAAACTGGGAAGTTTTCATGGCTGAAATGCAGATTTTGGGAAGTTGGTGTGAAGTCCAGCTGAGAGGGGGTGTTTTTGTGAAAAACTGAAAGCAGGAGGGTGCCTCCTAGCTGCTAAACCCAGTTTGGCGCCCCTCCTACTGTATTAGCATGCTCCCCACGCCTTAGCAAACCCTAGGGCGCCTTTTAAACCATTCTTTTCACTCTTAGCAAAACCTAGCCACCCCTAACTACTAAATCCTCACCTTCCATCCCATCTAATCTCCACCATCCATTTTAGGGCACTCTCTTTTTAGCATTCTAACCCTAGGAGCCACCTAACTTCTAATCCTCATAATTCAACTCCCCACCATTAAATCTCAGTCATTCCTTCCATCTTATATCCTAACCATTCAATCTAGGGCACCACCTATTCTTTTAACCTTAACCTTTCAACCCTAGATGTTCTAATCTACACCCTCCATTTCTAGGCGCCCAAATCTCAGCCCTACATAATATTAGGTGCCTTCTCCTTTTATTTTCATCCATAGGATCACCTTAAAACAATACTAACCCTCCATTCTAAACCCTAGGGCACCTATATTTTTGCAAAAACCCAGCTGCGCCCCCCTCTTTCTCTCTAATTCCTAATTATATATCCACCCTTCTCTATAAAAAGGACCCCAGAGGCCATGGAGAAAGGGTTGGTCAATTCACCTATTTAACAAGGCTAAGGTTTCTTAAGGAGTTTAAGGGTTGTAGAAGGGGAGGACATCTAGATCTTGTCAGGAGGGGTTCCTGCAAGCTGTTCAACCATTTTGCAACTACCGCCACTGGATCTGATCAACCATTCTTTTCTTTTCTTTATTTTCTTTTTTGTTATTTTTATTTATGCAATCTTTTAGTTTAATTCTTGTTCATTTCTCCGTTTTACAGATCTGAATTCGTTCAGTTCAAGGCAAAGGTGTCTCGAGGGGTTCGAGGGTTGTAGAAAGGACGAACGCCCTGTTCTTGTTAGGAGGGGTTTCTGCAAGCTGTCTGGCCAATCTGCAGCTACTGCCACCAGATCCAGATTTTGGATCATTTTTTTTAGTTATTTCTTTTATTTCCTTTGTTGATTCTCATACTTTTTTAAATTCTGCTTTTTATTTATTGTATTGTTTAAATTTGAAACATTTAATTTCAGTAATAATAGATTTTATTTTTGTATTTTCTACCATTCCCGCTTGCATTCTCTTGTCCGGATCTAAGTATATATTAGTTTTTCACTTGCTTCCCTGTGGATACGACCCGTTCTCACCCATTTACTACGCTAGTAGTTGTTTGAAAAATGGTAAAAATTATAAATGTTTAAACTAGTGTTCCGGAGTGTTTAACGACGCACTTTCAGACACACCAGCCACTACCCACTAGTCCACACACTCATAACGGTGGAGCAGTTGACGGAGATGAAATTGCCTCCTTCTTCTTTCATTGGTTAAAGGCTTTACACCTCCTCTCAAATTTCACCTGAGCATCTCCGTCTCTCTATCCAGTCTCCACAATCGTTGTTTTCTCTTCTAAACAGTCTGAGGTAGGAGCATTTGGCTGGCCTGTACGAGGTTGATGCGTGTCAAACCGGAGGGCGCTAGCCTGGGCATACCATGGGGACACTTAGGGCTACCAAGCGCAGACCAGACGGACCCAGTCACAGGGCACCGTGTGGCTTTGGCAGAAGATCTCGCCAAGCCCTCGTACGGCTCGCATCTGGACCATCCGAGCCCAACTACTTCCAGTTAACTCCGGCTATAAATGCAAAGCCCCCCACGAGGTAGAGGATTTTTATTTCCTTTGTTGATTCTCATACTTTATTAAATTCTAATTTTTATTTATTTTATTGTTTAAATTTGAAACATTTAATTTCAGTAATAATAGATTTTATTTTCGTATTTTCTACCATTCCCGATTACATTCTCTTGTCCAGATCTAAGTATATATTAGTTTTTCACTTGCTTCCCTGTGGATACGACCCATTCTCACCCATTTACTACGCTAGTAGTTGTTTGAAAAACGGTAAAAATTATAAATGTTTAAACTAGTGTTCCGGAGTGTTTAATAATGCGCTTTCAGACACACCAGCCACTACCCACCAGTCCGCGTGAATTGTTGATGCTCGGATTTGTCAAGGACAACAAAGTAATTTCGCTCCCAAGCTTCGACGAAAATGGCCGAGGGCTTCGAAGGTCCGAAGAGGGGAGGCCGAGGCCGAGGACTACGCCCGAGGTGGAAGGTCTCTTTGGATGCTGTAGGAGCCGAAGGCTGGTACAAAGTGTAATGTGCAAGGGGTCCAAAGGAGACCTCAAATCTCTCTGATGTGAAGTGTCAGAGGCCTCGGGTAAACTAAAGGTGAACTAAAGGTCTAGAGTCAAAGGGTCCAAACCAGGTCTCAAATAGCACTTAAGTTCTCCAGAGAGATTATGCTTAGAGATTGCTCAAGTTTCGAATCCTCTACCTCATGGGGGGCTTTGCATTTATAGCCGGAGTTGACTGGAAGTAGTTGGGCTCGGATGGTCCAGATGCGAGCCGTACGAGGGCTTGGCGAGATCTTCTGCCAAAGCCACACGGCGCCCTGTGACTGGGTCCTTCTGGTCTGCACCTGGTAGCCCTAAGTGTCCCCATGGTATGCCCAGACTAGCGCCCTCCGGTTTGACACGCGTCAACCTCGTATAGGCCAGCCAAATGCACCTACATCAGACTGTTTAGAAGAGAAAACAACGATTGTGAAGACTGGATAGAGAGACGAAGGTGCTCAGGTGAAATTCGAGAGGAGGTGTAAAGCCTTTAACCAACGAAAGAAGGAGGCGATTTCATCTCCGTCAATTGCTCCACCGTTATGAGTGTGTCAAATTCCGGAAACTAGATACTAGAAACCTCTGCTCGGATCTTCATGAGTACATTCGGATGTGAGTCTAAGATCATCACAACCCAGAGCAACGATGACGTCGAAGTGTCCTACACGGCGAATAGGAAGTCAAAAATATGCCCGCTAATCTCGACGTCATTGGTATGCCGCGGCAGAGAAGATTCCCCGGCTTCAAACAGTGTCAATTTCCTTCACGACCTCTTGCATCTAGAAATCAATTAGACAAGATGGCTCCTTTCCTGATTTCATGTTCGACTTGCTCTAGCCAGCGCACACGGTTAGGAGAATCTGCGATGAGCATGTTTATTAAGGGAAAATTCCCGTGGTGCGGCAAAGACAGCTGGATGTTCATTTTCTTGAGAAAGCCATACGTTCATTCCTCGGTTGGTGGATGGAGGCTTCACCTCCATCAAGAGATTTGGGTTCCCGAAACCTGATCTTCATTTTCTTGAGAAAGAAGATGATGAACTGTGTCTAAGCGTAATTTTGACATTTTTAAAAGTCTTAAAATCATGTATGAGGTCACGTGATATACATAACTTACGATCCATTAATGGTAGGTATTAAATTGTCACATTTCGAAAGTCTGGGTACTAGATTGTCACGTTTTAAAATTTGGGCACTGAATTGACACTCGGCCTAAAGTACAAGATACCTATCGGGAATTTTCCCTTTTTTAATTGACATTAATTAAAACGTTTTAATTTTGAAAATTTTTATGATTTTGAACCTTCCTCTGTGATGGAACTTTTCAAAAATTCCGACAAAGTATTTCATTAAATTTTGTTAGTAATCAGTTGTATTATTTTTTTTAAGGCGTAATCAGTTGTATTTTATATGTTATCATATCATCTTAAAGATATTATGTGCGCAAAATAAGCAGCCTAAACCCTTTTTGTTTCGAAATAGATCCTTGTTTTAATTTTCATTGTCATACGAAATAAAATTGAATGACATTCAAATTTCAAATCCAAGGTTGGACAGTCAATATGGGTTCTTTGACAAGGATTTTTCAAGTGGATGGATGATAAATACACTTGTGGAAATTGGCAAATTGCCAAAACACATATTCCTTGTTTGGGTTGAGAAAAATTATGTCTTTGGGCCTCAGATTGATGAACCTTTCTACCATGCTTCTGATAGAGTATTCCCTCCTATTTCAAACCAAACAAAATAGAGAAAAAAAAAACTCTTGTTTTCTCTTTTTTCAAATCAAACAAATATATAGTCTGACTTCCTTTTTAATTGATAAATGATAAACAACATATATAGTCTTGACTATGTGCTTATATTATATCTTAAAAATAAATATTTATTATGCCGACCTGATATTCTTTGGGGCGTCCACAGGTTCCCCAACCGAGATGGGGTCAAGGAGACGGAGATGGGTGCGACATGTCCAAAGTGCTAAAATCAACCCCCATCATGGTCCTATAGCATTTTTCCACCACACGAGAGGAAGATATTCATATTTGTATGTTTTCATTGAGATGGGAGATTTTAGCAATCCAAGTTGCAAGGGGTGTTCTGTCAAAAAAAGTTGCAAGGGGTGTGAGGAGGAAATCCGATTTAATAAAATATAACGTGGCAATTTCTCGCACCCCTTCGTGTACCTGGACTGAGATTTTCCCTTTTTCAACTTATAATATTCTTTTTTATTTTTAATTTATCTTCTGTATTTTCTATTTTGCTTACCACAAAAAAAAAAAAAAAACTTCTGTATAAATTTGCTTCTTCATCTTTGGCAGAGTTACCTTATTTCTTCGGTCTCCCTTTGCCGCCCAACCCACACACTGAACTCTCATCTTATGGGCTCCCTTCCTGTTCCTGATGCGTTGCGGTGGTGGTGGCAAGTGAGCAACCGCAGAGATGAATACGCCCGAGCAGTGCTCACACTTTCCTTGGTAGTCCTTTCCATCTCCTGGTACGCATGGTTAACCAGGAAATCAAGGAAAGCAGACCTCCCGTTGCCGCCCGGCCCACGAGGCCTGCCCCTGGTCGGAAACCTCCTTTCCCTTCACCCGGAACTCCACGTCTATTTCGCCGAGCTGGCTCGGACCTATGGCCCCATCACGAAATTGCAGCTAGGTAAGAAGTTGGGCATTGTGATTACCTCACCGTCGTTGGCTAAGGAAGTGCTCAAGGACCACGACACCACCTTTGCCAACCGTGACGTACCGGCTGCAGGCCGGGCGGCTACGTATGGGGGCCTTGATATTGTATGGACTCCATATGGTCCAGAGTGGCGATTGCTGCGTAAGGTGTGCGTGCGTGAGATGCTCGGCACTGCCACTCTTGACGCCGTCTATGGCCTTCGTCAGCGGGAGGTTCGCCGGACCGTGGAATACCTGTATTCCAGGACTGGCTCCCAGGTGAATATTGGGGAGCAGATGTTCTTGACCGTGCTCAATCTGATCACGAGCATGCTGTGGGGCGATACGATCAAGGGGGAGGAGCGGTCTCGTCTCGGCGCAGAGTTCCGACAAGCCATTGGCGAGATGACAGCGCTACTGGGTATGCCCAATGTTTCCGAATTTTTTCCTATTCTGGCCCGCTTCGATCTGCAAGGCGTGGAGAGGAAGATGAAGGTTCTGGCCTCGCAGTTTGATCGAATGTTTGATTCCATGATTCATAAACGGCTGAATATCATGGACGAAAAAGGTAGAGAGGAGAGCCATGACTTTCTGCAGTTCCTATTGAATCTCAAGGACCAAGGAGATGCTAAGAACTCCCTCACAATGAATCAAGTCAAGGCCTTACTCATGGTATGGTTTTACTTAATTAATCTAGCTAGATTTAAAATGATATCCAGTTCATCCCTACCAATATTTCACCACTTTGAAGATAACTCTGTTCTGTTGGTCATTTATATTTGTAATCAGACTGATCAATCATTTCCTTGACTGAACAGGACATGGTGATTGGTGGGACGGATACGACTTCAAACACGGTAGAGTGGGCAATAGCCGAACTGATGAACAAACCAGAGACGATGAGGAAAGCCCAAGAAGAACTGGAGAGAGTGGTGGGTAAAGACAACATAGTCGAAGAGTCTCACCTTCCCAAGCTACACTACTTGCAAGCAGTTATGAAAGAAGTGCTCCGTTTACACCCGGCTCTGCCACTGTTTATCCCCCATTGCCCAAGCTCTTCGTGCGCTGTTGGGGGTTACATGGTCCCCAAGGGCGCCAGAGTCTTCGTCAATGCGTGGGCAATCCATAGAGACCCTGTGTTGTGGGACAAACCCTTGACGTTTGATCCCGAGAGGTTCTTGATTGATGGGAAATGGGATTACACCGGCAAGGATTTGAGCTACATCCCGTTTGGTTCCGGGAGGAGGATATGTGCAGGGATGGCAATGGCAGAGAGGATGGTTATGTATGCATTGGCATCGCTGTTGCATTCGTTCGACTGGGAATTGCCGGAGGGAGCAAAGCTCCAACTTACTGAGAAGTTTGGGATTGTGCTAAAGAAGGCCACACCTCTTGTCGCAGTCCCCACGCCAAGGTTATCTGATCCAAAACTTTATGCCGGATGTTAGTTTCATCGTCGTCTTCTCTGGTATAAATCTTTTATCCTGCCAGCTGTACCTTGACTTGTGTTGAAATGCAATAAAGTTTTAATATATATATATATATATATATATATGCAGAGAAGATTCTGTTATGTTCTTGATCGAATTGAGAGTACTCAGCTCAGATCTATGTTGTATAAAAGAAATGAACAACAAAATAAGCCCAATGCAATAATTTTCAAGAAACTAAAACAAGTTGGGTGGTTGGCTGGTTGCAGTGATTAGCATAAGGTCTTTGAACATTACAGAAAATAACTCAGACAAGTTTGACGTATTAACCTTCCGGTATAGCAGTAACTCTATAATGCCATGAGTAGTGCATGCCAAATTCTAGGCTGTCTTTAGCGAAAAGAAAAAACCTTGCTAGGCTGGCAATTGGATAGGTTTGGGACGCTGAACTTCAACCCATCCAAAATTACTTGTACAGTTAACAAAATTACTTGAAGTAATAACTCTTTTAATTAAGGTTCAAAATTTCGATCTTCGATAGATACGTCCTGTATCGGGCGTATTTTCGAAACCCACTCTTTTTTAATGAAAATATATATATATATATATATATATATATATATATATATATATATATATATATATATTTTAAACCCGAACGCGGCCCATAAACAAGTCTAATGCAAATATATATATGTGTGTTTATCTTTTTCCAACTCAAATATAGGTTTTGGCGCATATGGACAGTTTTTGTTATGGTCACTGATGGTGTACGATTTGATTATTCCTAGTCGGAGGGCGATCCGGATGGACGGCGAGTTAGATCGATCTGCAAAACAATCTATCAGAGAACCCGGGGTAGCTAATCCGGCGAGGTCGTTCCGATGCTTAAGTCAGTAAGTATGTTATAAATGCGAGCTGAATGCTTGAGAGCTTGAGTGCTAGAGAGTAGATTAATCACGCGTACCTCTCTTTTTTTTTATCCCCCCTGGGTCTTTGGGGTTGGTGCCTTTATATAGGCATTGTTCAATGTGGGCTTCACGCACCACATCCAAGATTTCCGAGAGATCGTGCCTAACTGGTCCAAAATCCTTGGAGGTAAACATCATGCACATTGACCACCCTTCGAAACATTTGGTACGTGGGCCAACTTGTAAGAATCGTGGGAGTGTTGGGATATGCATGCCAAATTTGTTGGCGAGCACGTCTCGCAGGTCGGCACCTGGACCTCAGTCAGGCCGGCACGCCCTTGAGGGAGGTCACTTCGGCCAATGACGAGGTGCTGCAGGTCGGCCCTGGACGAGGTGCTTCTAGCCGACTTGAGTTGTGGTCGAGGTCGCTAGGTTGGCGGTGAAGGCATGTCACCAGGTTTGGGCGAAGAGAAACTATGACCTGGGACTCCAAGTCATTGCTTAGGAGGTGTCTATGTGTCAATTAGCTGTTCCAAGATGCCATGTGTCATGATGTCATTGGAGGGCCAAATCTGCCCTCATCAATTGCCCCCCACTCCCGAGCTGAGAGTAGCTCGATGAAGGGAGAGATTGTTCCTTTTGGCCCAAAAATGACTAATTCGATCAGTTCGTAGTCGCAAGCGTTGGTCTGATTTACTTCTCAAATCGGAATAGTTCGAGTGTTTGCTACCTTACACAGGACCTCGCTGTTTTGATTCTTGGGGCACGAGAGCGAACTCATCCTCTCGAGGAGAGGTGAAGCAGGTACCCCGAGGACATCTACCTTATTAGGGATGCAACCGTCAAGGGGTTCTACAATCTGACCATTACCTCGAGAGCGAAGCTTACCATGCTGTCCTCAAGGGAGGTTCTAACTATGTGACTACTTTATTAGGTCGCTCCACCTAGGTAGACTTCGACGCAGTGTCACTCGAATTGGTTCTCAAAAGAGTAGCCAGTGAGTTCGATGCGCAACCTAAAACCGAGGTAGAGGTTGATTGTGAAGAGATCAACCAAATTTGTGTTTGTCATGCTGCCGAACTGGTATGCCGAATAGGTGTTGTATTTTTTCCTCCACTCCATTGCGTAAAAGTTTTCTAAGTGTGGATTACCCCGAAGTGCCAAACTGTATGCACACCGATGAGGCTAAACGCGAATTATTTTTTTATTTTGCCCATGCCAAAGAGACGACTAGGTATATGTCCGAGCTGACGTGGATAATTGTGGATTACTAACAAAGTGTCGGGCTGACGAGCTAGGCTCTAATAGGAATAACCCGATCTCAATGTACTTCGAAGTGAATAGACATTGTAGGGTATGTGCCCGTCCTACCTGCGCACAAGCTATTTTTGTATTTGCCCATGCCGAAGAGGCGACTGGGTCTCATGTGGTGCCGAGGTCTTTTATCAACTTGGCACCTTAGCTCTAGGGCTCTGGGAGCGACTCGCGGTCCACTCTCCTTATCCTTATTTAGCCGACGTGTGACCTGACCTTTCCTCCTAAGCGAGTGGTCATTCTGTAGTAACTTCTCATATGGCTGTTTCTACGTCATCCCGTGGGATTATCTTCTTGGGTGAGTGCTTGCGAGACCACAACGTACATGTTCTGCCCCCCTTGCGAGGGCATAATGTTGTTGTCGGTGTGAGTCGGCAGTTCAGGGCCATGACTGCACTCCATCAGCCTCGTTAGTGACGCCGGTCATCCACTCCTACAAGAAGCCACTGGGAGCTCGACATATGGGGGCAGCACTACTAACTTTAGGTCACTAACTCGCACGGAAGCCTTGGAAGGCTCGACCTGCAAGGGTGTCCATGCAATCCGTTGGCCACCAACTCCCGCGGAAGCCACGAAGAGCTCATCTTATAGAGGCGACCTTGCGAAACAGGGCTGATGAGGCCTCATCCTAGTTGACTGCTGTTGAGGATGAGTTGAGGATGTTTTGTTGTTGTTTACATCGGGCTTCTCCCATGCTCAGATATGGAAATTCATGCTTCATCTCATAGAACTGCTACGCTTCAATCCCGGCGGGAACCACTGATGGCTCTACCGCGGGGGGAGGGGCATTCACATACAGTAGCGGTGTATTTATCTAGGGCACTGGGGATGCTGAGTTTGGCCTGAACTTGTCTGCTTGTCAAAGGGGAGTTCTCTAGGTTCATCATAAATGTTTTTGCCCCCTAGTAATCGGTATTCGTTCTCGGTGTTGATGCTGCTCAAAAGTACCTTTGAGTTCATAAAAAATGGAAATTAGAAAGTGAGAACTTTAGTTTTTAAAAGGTGAGATCTTAGCTTTTTGGAAGAAGAGGACTTAGCCTTTTAGAAGGTGAAAACTTGGCTTCTTGTAGCGTTTCCCACAAACGGTGCCAATTGATGGCACGCGATCTGACTACTCCTAGCTGGAGGGCGATTCGGACTCCAGGTGGATAGCGAGCTGGATCGATCCGCAAAACAATTTATCAGAAAACCTAGGGTAGCTAACCTGGCGAGGTCACTCCGATGCTTAAGTCAGTAAGTATGTTGTAAATGCGAGCTGAATGCTTGAGAGCTTGAGTGCTAGAGAGTAGAGTAATCACGCGTACCTCTCTTTTTTTTCTCCCCCCTGGGTCTTTGGGGTTGGTGCCTTTATATAGGCATTGTTCAGTGTGGGCGTCACACACCGCATCCGAGATTTCTGAGAGATCGTGCCTAACCGGTTCGAAATCCTTAGAGGTAAACATCATGCACGTTGACCACCCTCCGAAACATTTGGTACGTGGGCCAGCTTCCAAGAATTGTGGGAGTGTCGGGATATGCATGGCAAATTTGTCGGCGAGCATGTCTCGCATGTCGCCACTTAGACCTCTGTCAGGCCGACACGCCCTCGAGGGAGGTCGCTCCTTGTGTCGATGTCACTTCGGCCAGTGACGAGGTGCTGCAAGTCGGCCCTATATGAGGTGCTTCTAGCTGACCTGAGTTGTGGTCGAGGTCACCAGGTTGGTGGTGAAGGCAGGTCGCGAGGTTTGGGCGAAGAGAAACCACGATCTAGGACTCCAAGTCATTGCTTAGGCGGTGTCTATGTGTCAATTAGTTGTTCCAAGATGCCATGTGTCATGATGTCATTGGAGGGCCAAATCCATCCTCATCAGTCACCAAAGTTCAATTGTTTAGGCTGTGTTTGGTTGTAATGCAAATAAATTTACACTGATGCAAAATCATGGCAGTGCAAATGATTTGAGTGTAAATTCTGACTTATTTTTGTTTCAAATTTTAGCTTATTTTGTTTCATTGCAAAACAAATGAAGTAAATTAAGACATGAAACAGAATAAAGTAAAATCCAAAACAAAATTAAACAAGAATTTGCATTTTTATATTTGCACTCCCATGCATTTATACTAATGCAAATAAAATTGCAATGCAATCAAACACAACCTTAGGAGTTTTTATTGTTCAATACACCCATAAACTTTAGTACAGTTGGAACAGTAAAGGGTACACATTCAATGTTTCTCACTGCTCAAGTTAATTTTCAATTTTTGTTTTCAAGCGTGGAGGTGAGGTGATATCATTGGATACTCTTCTTGTTCAAATAACTAAGGGGTGTTTGGTATATGTAAGCACCTAATTTTTGCTCGGTCCCCTTTCTAACTCACTTCTCATATTCCAAAAAGATTCCAAATCGATGATCCTCATTAGCCACCACTCTCCTAATCTGAGATCTTCATTGAGATACTCCATCCAAGACCCTGAGACCTCCACTAACTTCCTGATCAACCATCCACCCAAAATCAGACCTCAAAATACCCATTTTTCCCTTCATCCAAAAAGATTACAAATAAACCATCCTCATCACCTGATATGCCCCAAATTCAAGATCCATCATCACACACCATCTGACACCTCCAAACCCCATCAAAACCTCCTGGTCGATGATCCATCACATTTCAAACCCAAAAATGACAATTTTACCCTTGGCTTAAAAAGATTCCAATTGAACAATCCCCATCACCCAATACGCCCCAAATTCAAGATCCACCATCACACATCATCTAACACCTCCAAACCCAATCAAAACCTCCCGATCGATGATCTATCTCATTTCAGATCCTAAAATGACCATTTTACCCTTGGCTTAAAAAGATTCCAAATGAACCATCTTCATTGCCCGATATGCCCCAAATTCAAGATCCATCATCACACATCATGACACCTCCAAACCCCATCAAAACCTCCCGATCAACCATCCACCCAACATCATACCTCAAAATACCCATTTTGCCCTTCATCCAAAAAGATTCCAAATGAACCATTCTCATCGCTGATATGCCCCAAATTTAACATCCATCA